TAGTTAACCCACTCGCCACAATTTCGATGCTATCACTCCGCTGATTTATGCCACATGTACAACTAATAGCTCAAATGAAACCAGAGACTTCATAGATTCCAATGATTTGCCCCTCTTTACTCTATTCCAAAGCATCTGCAAGATATCAGCAAAAGAAGAGCAACAACAGAAATGGCTTCATAAAAAAAAAAAACAAGAGTATTTACACATCTGAAAAAAATCTCACAAGAGTCCCCATCATTTTGAGACCAAAATTATTCAAATAGACCTTATGGTTGCAGAGATATGCCCTTTTCAAAGTTGAGGTCTAAAAAACAGGTTAGGGTTTAATGTGTTAAGTCACTTCAAAGTCAGAAAAAGCATTTTTTTTTTTTTAAGATTATTTTTTGGGAATTTTTCTCTTTATTTGACAGTTATACAGTGTAGAGAGACAGGAGGGTTGGGGTGAGAAGAATGGGGGAAGACATGCAGCAAATGACCTGAGCCAGAATTGAACCTAGGTCGCTGTGGGTAGGACGCAGCCTTTATGGTACGCGCACTTAGACCGATGAGCCACCGGGGTGCCCAGAAAAAGCATTTTTTTTCAAATTGCAGGACAATGTCATATACATACTCTGTATCTGCCGGTTGCAGTGCTTCATTGAAGCTGCTGCACACTTTTATTGAGAAAATAATACTCAAACCCAGGACACCATGTTTTTATGGCCACAACAGTACATCAAATCTGTCATCATTTTCTACACATTTCCCTTAAATTCAGCGGGACATAGTTGGGATCATTGAAAACCTTGTGATCTCCACAAGAATTTAAAATAGTCCTGAAGTTTCACTGGTTTGAATGCAGCAAATGCAATTGATGGACCCATATGTGGGTCAATAGGTTTAATGTAAAGGTGATTTCCCTGGTCACGAGCCACACATTCTGCCCCACCTGGTAGACCGGAGCTGGACAACGGCGGCAGTTCCCTTGCTTTTGGAAGGCTGACACGTGTTTAAGGTGACTCAGGAAAATGATTAGCACAGAGACTGGCATTAAACAAGAACTATCGAAGGAAATGAGGCCAAGGAAGAATTACATGGGAAGAATTACCCTAAAGTGCAACAAAACTAGCCATGTTACCTTTGTCTTCATGAGGAAAAAAAAAAAAATCTGTGTTATTTCAGCCTGCTTTTGGCATCCATCTGCAGTAGGTTTTCTGGAGCATTTAAGCTGACTTTCATCAGTTGGACACTGCTGTGCGGCATCCCACTGTGTATTGCAATGTTGAGCAATGACAGGGGAAACAATTGATAATAGCTTTAAGCACATTTTTGAAGTGCATTTTTATGAACCTTCTTAAATTTGTTACTTTCGTCTCCTGAAGTAGCACTTTAATTTGGAGCGTGTGAGCGCTTCTTAAAATCTACTCAACAGGGCTTTCCAATGTGTTAAGAAATAAAATAGTTTTTTAAAAATAACTATGTTACCAAACAAGTTAAAAATAACTTTGTGTTTGCCTTTTTTAAGTAAACTAAATCTTTTCAAATTGTCAAGGATCAATGTAGCAGTATAATGAGAGTAAAGTGAAACACACTTTGACCAAATCATGTATTTGGAGGTAACTTTTACTCCCTTTAACTAACCTAACAGCTTATAAAATGCGCCTATTTTGTTGTATTTCATCTCAGATTTATTTCTGCAGGGGGCCTGACTGAGACTAAAGTGTGCTTTACAGCAGGGACCTGCATTGCAAACAATTAAAATACAGCATCTTAAAATGAAATTAAAATAGTAATAAAATAAAAGAGTTGTCTTAACCCTCTAAGAGTGATGTTATTTGTAATCTCCAAATATTTCTAAGGGTGTTTTCAATTAAAGTGCTTAAAGCTAGTATCTCACTGAGCAGCGAATGTTCACGAATGTAGCGAATTTTGAGTTTCGTCAGAGTTCGCAAAAGGGCACAAAGCAGTTCACTAAAAGTTTTTAGGATCGCAAACAGTTTTTCTTGTCACAAAGAAATTTTGAGCATGTTCAAAATTTCTTTGCAAATTTATTTTCTCATAAACAGTTGCAGACGTTTGTAAAAGAGTTGTAAGCGTTTGCAAATGGTTGTAACACGTGTCGCTAAAGTTCTTTTTGGTTCGCGAAGTAGTGACCACTATACAACAGAGCTACGATTGCTGACAAATGTAGGCGAATACTGGGTTTTGTAAGGATACTATTAAGATTTCGTCAAGATTGCAAAAGAGTTTGCGAACGGTTTTTAGGGTTGCAAAGAGTTCATTTTCATATTCTAGAAAGCCATTTCCTATTCTTTCGCAAACAGTTACGCGATTGTCGCTAATTGATGCTAAACGTTGCTAAATGTCACTAATGACACCTAGGTCTATCCCGATTTTCCTCAACTTTCGTCAGAGTAGTTGGCGAATCCAAAATTTGCTACATTCGTAAGCATTCACCGCTCAGTGAGATACTAGCTTTGAGAAAATGCACCACAATTTTGAAAAACTGTTTCCAGGTAATTACACACTGACCTTGGCCCATTTCTTTTGGGAACTGCGCCCCAGGATGTTAACGGAGTGTGTGTGCGTTTCCAGTTACGACATAAATGCTCTGTTTCAGATAAGAGCATCAGGCAAACGTGTCCCATCAATGGCAAAAGCTGATTTGGGAACTGTGCAATATCATAAAACCCCCGCTCTGTCACATTGACCTTGTTCTGGTTGGTTGGGAACTGTATGTTGCTGCACTCTCTGCATTAGTGATTTCAGCACCATGGACAGCACAGGTGATAATGCCAACTGTGATATTCTAGCCTGATACCCTCTTTCCATCAACACGAACCTAGTGCTTACTCTGGACTGGTGCAAGTGCCGGTTGGCAGTCTGTTGGACGTGCAGATCCTCTAAGAAACAGTTTGCGATAACAGAGGCCAAATTCTGCTAAACAGAATCAGGCTCCAAAAAGTGAAGGGTAGCCAGAAGCTTTGGGGCAGCATGGATTGTGCAGTTCCTGCTGGTTTCTGGTTCCAGGTCTTCTAGATATCCTTCAACAAAATTACAATGGTATTGCCCTGCAATCGATAGATTCAATATTGCCTTCTGATATTCTAAATAAATTGACACCTATTGAAAAGACTATTTTCTTTCTACCACGCCCTCTCTGAAATGTCTCTGCTGACCACAAACTATTGTAGCCATGTCACTGGCAGAATTAACTAACTCTTTTCCCCTTAATGACTGCATATAACACCTTAACTCTTCTCCCTTATAATGACTAATTATAACGCCTATATGTATATCAATGGACCTTTTGCCTAGCCTCCCCATTAATTGAAAATGGGGGTATCCCCAAGGCGTCAAAAATTGTCTTCATTGATTTGGCGAAGGTTGTCATTTGTGGTCATTATGTGGAAAAGGAGGGGGGAGTCTATGGGGAAAAGGGTCAAATGGGAACTCTGGCGTGAAATTGACTTGGGGTGTATTGAAACATGATAATGAGTACTAACTTTTGTCGAATACCCCACCTCCATATGCACCCAACATTTTGAAATACAGGGCTTTTTATCCGAAGCTCCCAACAGGCTTACAATGGTAGTGAATGGGGCATAGCGTTGCCATGCATGGAAATCACTATTTCTTCATCATGAACAAGGCTCAAAGTAGCTCCAAACATCATTGGTAGAATTCCGAGGGCCTTGACATTTAAAACGAGGCACTGAGAACTTTGAAAATGCACAGGTAGTTTATTAAAAAAGACTGTTTATGCAGACAGTACCTTGAGGTAGTTTCCCATCGCCGCCATCTTGAAAGTCACAATAAGTCGATTGACGACTATGCCTCATTCACTACCATTGTAAGCCTGTTGGGAGCTTCGGCTAAAAAGCCCTGTATTTAGAAATGTTGGGTTCATACGGAGGTGGGGTATTCGACAAAAGTTAGTACTCGTTATCATGTTTCAATACACCCCAAGTCAATTTCACGCCGGAGTTCCCCTTTAAGACCTGCTTTTCTTTGGCATGAAATATCAGCAGAATCACCAACAATTTAACCTCTTAAACCTGAAGGCCCCCGGTACTGCGGGCAATCATTACGCATCATAAATACAGCATGTTACGTAACAGCAACATTGTCACGCCGTATATCCTCTTTACAGGAAAAAACTTGGCAAAAAGCTCACGTTGAACATTTTTACCTCAGCCGAACACAATTCAAGCACCAAGCAAATAAATAAACATGTAGCAAAACATAGTATTAAGAAAAATCAGCACTCAATCTCGAGCGTTTCTACTGAATTTGTGCTAGGCATACAAACCATGCATCAAATGACAGAGGAAAGTCCACAGAATCCAACGATATAAGCCATGTCATTTTAAATCGACACTACACTAAGAGAACAGCAGGCATAAACTTTACATTCTACAGAGATGAGCAAAGAATTTTTCTTACCTTTGATATTTTGTAATAAACTGTGTTCGAGGGTCAATCTGCACTTGCTATTGTTAGCCCAATGTGTTTGTGTTATATCGAAACTAGATCTTCCAGTATCCATGCATGTTTTTTTGCGGGGCACTGCTTCAAAGGATGTCAGCTCCAGAGCAATCCGCTTGCTCGCAATGTATTTTCCTTTCTGTGATCGGCTTAGGATGCTGTCAGTAAGACTCTGTGGGTGGCTATTTGATTCTATGGGCTCTGACATTTCCAACAAGCCCTAAACCACCATAATCGCACAAACAAAGCCTGAGATAGAGCCTTGCGTTCCCGGTGCGTCAGACTGAGTCTATGGGCCATTAACATGTACTTAAATAGGGCAACAATATAAACGCTTAACTGGTTTGTTTGTAGTATTTTCGGCATAATTATCCACTAGATATTCAACAATAATAAGTCATTTTCTGACTGGGAATCCTTGTGCCATTCTGCATGAGTACTGACAACAATACAAGCGGGGTGCGTGTTTTCTTGACTTGTTCTCTTGACTCACTCTTTATATCGGCAATTTGAAAGTGGGATGCTGGTTAACTGATGTAGCCTAGTGGTTAGGGTACTGCGCTACACTCTCGGTGGCCAGGGTTGAAATCCCAGAGCGGCAGGGGCTTCTTCAGGCAGTAAAAGCATTTTTAATCGGTAATTAATTCCTGGGTTTTTCTGTTCTGTTTACTTTTTACCATTTGAATTTATAATTATAATTATATAATATAATTATATTTATAATTTTGTTTATTAGCTTTTTTATACATAAATCAGCTCCAGTGGAGTCAAACTTAATTTCCTTTGTGTGAATTATCTTTGAATGGGAAAATGTACACAAGACTGGCAGAAATAATAATAATAAAAATATTTAAATTATTCTAAAGATTAAAAAAGTGGTTGTATTTGGATGGAATGTATGCCTGTAGTGACATATTTGAAATTAAATTAGTTTTACAGTTTGGTACTTGAGAAATATGAAATTTTGGAGAGGCCACCCACAGTTTGGAGAGGCCACCTAGACATTCCTGAACTAAAACCTTTCTAATTTTGTTCTGATTTACTTGGTTAGAATAAACTTTGGCACAAATAATGGTGATATTTGGTGCTGTAATTTTTTAGAGGTTTAGGAATGCAACTGAATAATTTCAAAAAGTAAAACTTTGTTAGGCGCACATGAGATGTTTCATTTATGCAGCGTACCATCTTCATTTACTCTGACTCAGTGACATAGACACTGATCCTTACACCATGACAAAAATCCCCAAGATGATACCAAGATTACTCAAATGGACCAAGTAGTCGAAGAGATTTTGGGCATGTCATTTTCAAACAAGAGGCTCAGGGCTTAAGAGGTTAAATGTTGCCAGCCGTGGTAAAACACTGGCTGGATGAATTTTCATCATTTCCTCCCATTTAATAACACTTTGGTAGGATACGTCATAAAAATTAATGCAATAATGCGATAAAGCCAAGTTGTTAAAAGAAGTGACAATGCCTCTTCATGCTTTCCTATGCGCAAAAGGATCATTGTTCCATTTTAGCAAACCTCAACAGTTGCTTGTTGCCACCAAATGACAGACTTTGCTGGAAAAACAGGCTAGGAGATTCGACCATCTGTGAGTGCAAAAGTGGTGACTCATCACATCGCATGAGTTTCACCCACAGTAATCCCCCGCCCTTTACAAAATCTCACTCTCACCACTTGTCACAAGTTGGCAGCACAAATGATTGGAGTGTTGCATGATTGCATGCCATGCCTAATCTGTTTTGGCTTTACCATAGTTGAATCTGCCATTTTCAGTCATACTGTATAAATGATTGTATACTGGCTTTTTGTACATCAGAAGAATTTTCGTACAAAGGCTATGCTCATGTTTCAAATGAGCTGTTCACCCAAAATCTTTGAAGCTTCATGAACTTGAGAATTGAAAACACCCTCCTGAGCCAACACCGCCTTTGCTGGCTGGGCCATGTTCATTGTATGGACGATGGCCGAATCCCAAAAGACCTGCTATACGAAGAGTTTTTGGAGGGATTCAGATCTTGAGGCCACCCCAGACTGCGCTTCAAAGATGCCTGCAAGCGAGAGGAATTGATGTGCAGTCTTGGGAAAACCTTGCAGATTCACGAGGCCCCTGGAAAGCCGCCGTTCAGAGCGGGTTGAAACAAGCCGAGCAACACCGCATCGACTCCCTGAGGAGGAAGAAAGCCACCAGCAAGTCAACCTCCACAGACCAGGCAGCAACAACCTACATCTGCCAGACTTGCAGCCGAGACTGTCACTCCCGCATTGGCTTGCACAGCCACACAAGACTGTGCAAGACCCAACTTTAACTTCACTCCCGGTGCAGCCATCGTCTCTCAAGACAGAAGGAGGCCGAAAGAAGATATATATGTGTGTGTGTGTGTGTGTGTGTGTGTTGCACTGTAATAGATTTAACACATTTTTCACAAGCAAATCTGCATTAAAGGCAATGTGCATGGAAGTAATTTTCAATTGCTCATATTAAACATTAATTCTTTTGTTAACATGCCTTCCCTTGCCTGGATGGGAGAATTACAGTCTATGAATTCAGTTTTCTCAATCACAAGCTATTTTTTATCCTGACCTTATGACCAAAAGCTAACCAGGAAGCAAGCTCCTTTTCGTCACCCTTCATTGGTAAACATGACCTCAATGTGAGGAATGTTGCATGATCACATACATGCACCCCGGTTATTTGTCTTTGTCTCTATCCCTTTGTATCTTTAAGCCTATTGTTTTCCATAGTTGTAGCAGTCATCCTGACCTCCTTAAAATCAAATGAGAATATTTCTGGTTTATTTAGTTAGCATGAACAATTAAATTAGATTATATTTGATGAGATGATATGTGATTGACGGCAGTAAGGTGGTTCCAGGCGCAACAGTGCAAGAAGGTCAGTGTGGAGTTTGCTTGTTCTCCCCTAGTTTGTGTGGGTGTCTCCTCCCACAGTCCAAAGAAATGCATGTTAGGCGAATTGGAGATTACCGCCACCTTAGTGAGGAAGAAGCAGTTTTGATAATGGGTGGATATTGAATGAATGAATGAATGAATGAATGTTCATTGCATTTATACTGTGCTTTTCTCACTGGGACTCAAAGCCCTTTAAAGTTTTGAGAGGAAGCTTGATTTACCCACCACCAATGTGCAGTCTAGGTTCTGCACAGCAGCTATTTTCCAGCAGAGTGCTTACCACAAATCAGTGAAGATCGAGAAGGAGAGGAGAGGACATATTTTTAAAGACAGTTAATTTAGACGACGACCAGGGGCAGGTTATCTGAGCCAGGTTGGGAATTTTGTCAGTACTCGTGAGAATACCCTGCTGTTTGCAAAGATTATCATTAGACACCACAGTGAGTGAGGACCTTGCTTTAACATCTCATTTGGAAGATGTCGACTCCTACAGTGCAGTATCTCCATCACCACACGCAGGTATTGGGGTCTGAGTTGAGAGCATGCTTCAAGTTACTGCATTCTTCATTTCTTAGAGTGCATTTGGAGAACCTTTAAAGGAATCAATTAGCTCACATCAGTTATAACTGTTCATCAAAAATACAGCTTTTGCTGTTCATTACGAGAAAATACGCATTCATTTGTGTGAAATGGCGACCAATTTCACCAAGAAACATTCATCAGCGCCAAAAATCGAACATTTGCTCTTACCGCAGATTCAGTAACGTCATTGGCATTTTAATCATTCATTTTTGGACATTCTTTAACATCATTCGGCACAAATTAGAGAAAAAAATACTTTCATTTGCGTTAATATGAAAGGCATTAACACCGTGTTTAAAACCAAGTGCATTTAACATTTTTATAACACCGTTTGACTTTCAATAGCATTTCTGGACCGTGTTAGTGCGGATAACACAAATATTCACGCAATTGTACAAACAATTGAACGTTCCTAACATTCAATCCACAAAAATCTTTTTTCAATTGAACAGTTACGAGAAAATACGCATTCATTTGTGTGAAATGGCGACCAATTTCTTTTTTTAAAACATTTGGCATCTCCAATCCCACCCGAATCTGGAATGTCCAGTTAGGGAACTATGTACAAGGCTTTTCGCATATGCGGCCCCCTATTGCCAACTCAGGAGAGTGAGACAGCTCGCGGCTCCCCTCCGAAGCACGCGCCCGTCGCCACCGCTTCTTATACACTCATTGGTCGAAACCTCGCAGGCCCAGAACGAGGGCGGAGGATACCCGAACATGAACGAGCTTAGAATCTTCCTAACGAGCGTCTGGCCAACAGGAGGCGCCTGAGAACTTATTATTATTTACAATACCCTATCCTGGCAGACCCTCCCCAATTTGCATCCCTGTAGCGCATTGGCCAATTGCGCGCTACTCTGAAAAGAGCTGCCGACCACTGCAGGCTGAATGGCGACCAATTTCACCAAGAGAAACATTCATCAGCGCCAAAAATCGAACATTTGCGCATACCGCTGATTCAGTAACGTCATTGGAATTTTAATCATTCATTTTTGGACATTCTTTATCGTCATTCAGCACACAACAGAGAAAAAATACTTTCATTTGCATTAATATGAAAGGCATTAACACCGTCCTCAAAGCCAATTGCGACAATCAACGAAAACATTGATTTGAAAACATTGAACATTTTTATCTCACCATTTGACTTTCAATAGCATTTCTGGACCGCGTTAGTGCGGATATCACAAATATTCAAGCGATTGTACAAACAATTGAACGTTCTTAACATTCAATTCACAAAATTATTTTTTTCAATTGAACAGTAGCTTACATTTTGCTCATTATTGCATCATCACTGTGATGTAAGATTAGGTATGCCACTACAAAATGTAGGCTACTGTTCAATTGAAAAAAGATTTTTATGAATTGAATGTTAAGAACGTTCAATTGTTTGAACAATCGCGTGAATATTTGTGATATCTGCACTAATGCAGTCCAGAAATGCTATTGAAAGTCTAATGGTGTGATAAAAATGTTAAATGCACTTTAATGTTCGTTGACTGTCGCAAATGACTTTAAACACGGTGTTAATGCCTTTCATATTAATACAAATAAACATTTTTTTTTCTCTATTGTGCACCGAAAGACGCTAAAGAATGTACAAAAAAAGAATGATTAAAATGCCTATGACATTACTGAATCTGCGGTACGCAAAAATGTTCGATTTTTGGCACTGATGAATGTTTCTTGGTGAAACTGGTCGCCATTTCACACGAATGAATGCATATTTTCTCATAATGAACAGCAAAAGGTGTAATATAATAATTTACCTTTGCCACCTATTACATCAAATCACCTTTTGTTTTGGGAATTTTTATTTATGTTTGAAATGAAATCACCTGAGACAGAAAACTCAGAGGTGGAGTCTAATTTTAAATGCCAGCAGAACCACCTTTGAAATCACGGCCCACTGCTGAGAGGATATAAATCCATCCGCTCCAAGGCGACTGACGTTACACCTTGGTGATTGCTTGGGTAAGTGAATAATAGTGACTATCTAATAAATAAATTAAAATAATGATATTAAACATGTAACCACTTTGTTGATGATTTTGATTTTTTCCAGCAAATTCTCCATGTTCACTGGAAACTCAATAAGC